GAAGGGCGAGACAAAGGAAGTTTGCATGCTTTTTCTACATGCTTTTTCTTCATTCTTACATGCTTTTTCTTCAAAATTAACGCATTTCTTTTGTTTTTTTCAGTTTTAAGTATTTTTTATGTTTAATTACATTTATATCAAAAAGTGCTAGGAACTAAAGCGATTAAGGTAGATCTAGCTGTCCTTTACATCCATAAACGTTATATGTCAGTGGAACAAATGGAGTGAGCTTTGAGCGTTCCACGATTTTTGGAGACTGTCTATATGCGAGCTTCCTAAACAAGCCTATATGTATGTTTGTCCAAGAAATTTTTGGATGAAATACAAACCGCACAACTTCAAAATCGCATAAAAAGAGACCTTACAGTACTTGCAACTGATATTTAAATTAAATTGGATCCAACCAACCAAATAACCACACATTTCTAAGCTAATGACATGATATTTAAGATCATTTTTTGCTTTAATTTAAACTTTAGTTACATTTAAGCATACAGAGCAGCAATATTTAAAAATATGATAATCTTGTAATGTTTTTAAATTACTGTATACCAAAATTAAATTATTCCTGTATATTTTTGATAACATGCATAAGAGATAGCTGTAAAAAAAGCAGTTAAACTATATTCAAGTTGAAGAGTGGGACCTCAACTTAACAAATTTGAATCAACGTGCAAATCCTAATGTGCTGGACTAACAGGGAACACAAATGGCTTCAATTTAATGCAACTTTGACTTATCAGTTTGACATAACAAGTTCCACTGTATTTATTATTTAATTTAATAAATTGATAGCTGGATGGCCAAGGTAATTACAGTAGCAGCCTACTGCTCTGGGATTCAGAATCAAATCTGGAAAAGCAACCACAGAAACTTTTGGTACTCGTTTACTTTGTTACCCATTAGCAATGCAGTGCACATGCCACAAGATGTGAAAGCAAATGTTATACAATTGCTTAAATTAAATCAATTAAGTTCAATTAACTGATATGAAATGGATTAACTCTTTTTATTGAAATGAAAAGTGTAATGGATATTTTTAAATTTAGTTTAAAAAAATTTTTATAAAAAATTTGATCATTTGCATTCATTTAGATATTTGGAAAAAGCAAAAGGTTATGTATTAATACATATGTTTATGTAAATTCTAACTTGCATTACATTCCTCAATTTCTGTCCTGGATAATGATTGTGTTTGCTGCCATGGCATGACTCTCCTCATATTGCAAATGTCTTAGTGTCAATATAGGATGTAAGCGATATGCTTTTTTTGCCAATTCAAAATAGCTAATGTTGCTGTAAATTGGCTGGCCAATGTCCAATCTTTTCTTGATTTTGGGATTTGGCTAGCCAGTTTGTGAAATGGCATGGAGTGATCAGCCAAAGTCAGAAGAAAAAAGTCATTTATTTGTAAGTAAGTTATCTACAACCTCTCTGGGCAAATTTGAGGTTCTCAGCCCCACTTTTGCTTTCTAGCCAAGCATGGCATCATATGGCAACTGCTAAATGCATTGGTGAAAAGAATGGTTTTTCATGAATTAAATAAATCAGAGACCCTTAGCCCAATGTGTTGATTTATTTGTCTGCATCCATGTCATCATCATTCAACGGAATCTTGACTTTGGTTATGTCTCAGTTTTCCATGTACTAGTTTCAGTTCAGACCATATGTTCTTAAGTTCATTTATAATTTGGTTTGCAAATTTTCTCTCATTATTTGATTGAAGCCCATTTGGAGTACCTATAGTGGTGAAGGTATCAAGTAGCTGGGCTGGTAAGCAACTTCTGCTGTTTTGCTTTTCGCAATAATATAAACTTGGTTAAATGATTAATTGAGTATAAACTTGTACTTGCTGCCAGGGTTACTTTGCATGTCTGTATGATCTACCTGGCATCTTGAGTTAAATTCTTTAAATATCAAAGGTTGAGAAATTAGACCTACCTTGGGATTTGACAATTTAGCCTGACATGGCTTGCATAAGCAGAGGTACAATGTAGGCCTAATAACTTCTTTGATGACATTTTTGTACTTAGTTTGTAGCTCCTTTTCTATTGGTGTGTGACCTCCATGTCCAATTATCAAGTGGGTATCATGCAACATGTCGAAAAATTCTTCTGTATGCACGTATTACAAAATATTGCTATTGTATCCTGTTATTGGCACAATGAGTGTTTTTTTGTCATCAATTCAATAACATCATATTTTCTTAGTCGATGATATCAACACTTTCTTTTTTCTGCTTTGCTTTTGTCTGTTTAACATTCTCTATAAAAACACCATACAGTTGACCCCCCTATAAGATCATAGATACGTTCCATTTTTTAGGAATCCGATTTCTTACGAGTCGTTCCAATCACAGCCCGACACGTGTAAAGTTTACGGACTACGGCTGATTGAAAGGTTTTCTTCCATAAAATTAATCGATTCTAGACTAATCCGACTCAACATTTCCAAAATACGTATATATTTTTTGGAAATAATCCGTATAAACTACGCTATAAACAAAAAATTGTAGGATTACTTACCGAGTGTCACCATTCGACATTGCCATTGCTCAACATTGTTTTCGTCGCGGAACAGCTCAGCAAAGAGCGGCCGATTTCTAACAACTTATTTTTCTGTGAAAACTTCGTTGAACTTCGGAGACATCATTAATATAAATAATTTTAATCGCCGTTGAATAAGAAATGTTTCTTTCACAAGAAATGTATAAAATTACAGTACTGTATTAGACTTACGGTACCTAATTTACATACTGACAGACGATAGTTAGCGTAAAAATCTCCGTAGCGTGGCGCCACGCTAGACGGCGGAAATTTTTAATTATAATAAAGTTACCCACGCTAGACGGCGGAAATTATATATTTAATTATAACAAAGTTACAATAAGTTAATATATAATTATATGTACAGTACCTAATTTATATATAATTTATATAATACTGTCCAGACGATAGAAATCTCTCCGTAGCGTGGCGCTACGGACGGCGGGAAAGTAGTTCGGCTGCCGTTTCGGCTGGTAATGACGTTTAACGTAATTATAGGGGGTTTTTTACTGTTTTTTACAGATACCGTCACAATTTTTTCGCAGTTTTATAGGAATCGTAATTATTGGGACCGTAATTATAGGGGGGTCGACTGTATTTGTCTCTGGTGAGGATCCTGCTATTATTTGCTTTTACTTTCAGCAACGTATTCAAAGTATCCGAGAATTTGATTTTCATATCAAATGTTGGTTCCACATTTACATGCAGTCCAAGTTCACCCTGCATATTTGTCCCATCAGAAGTAGCCATGGGACAACCTATGGAATAACAATTATGAATATTTGAATATTGTTACATGGGATACAGCCCCAGTAAAATGTGTTCTGTTGCTAACTTAATATATTCCTTTAAAGAAAAATGTGTTGTAGCAAACAATCCTTTACTAACCTCAGCATAATTACTGTATGCTCCTTCCTACAATGTGTCATCACACGTATCCCACAACCAACACACATTATACATGCCCTATGACTCAACCTTTGAACTTGAAGTATTCATATAGAATACTATAGAAATATGAGGAATACAGTACTCACAATGAAACTGTTATGTCAGAATAATAATACAGTAGAGTGTCGATTATCCGAATCAATTGGGGACTGGGGTTGTTCGGAAGACCAATGTTTAGGATAACCAATTATGTACGAGAAAAAATATTAATTTATCCCATCTTGACATTTTTCTCCGTTGTGTGTCGCTTCGCGTTGAATTTTCGTCGATGTTAAGACTAACAAAGACTATTGTATCGTTAAAAATTATTTTTTTATTTTATACAAACAAAATAAACATATTGAAAAATATAAAAACAATAAAAAATTATACTTCAGAAGTTAATTTAGTATCAAAAACGTAAAATATTTGAGTAGCCCAACACATAGCCAAAGATTGCAGCGCCACAGCACTGGCGAAAATTTAAATTTGCCGACTGGAATTCTTTTGGATGATTGACTTGTGGATAATCGATGCTCTACTGTAATAACAAGTCAGAGGCAGGACCTTCTCTGAAAAGCAGAAGACATATGGAATATTATTGTCACAACGTAACACCTTCCTTGCTAGTACGTGCATGGCACCACCACATTGGAAGCAAAAGATGTGCCACCTACTGGACAATCTTGCATCAGCACATCAAATTTTGGCCAGAAATTTCCTGCCACTTCGCGAAATGGCCGGCCAAAGTAGCATACATACTGGTCATTTCAAGTACATTGGACACTCCTCTCAGCTAAAGTGCGAAATGGCCAGCAAATTCGGAAACTGGCCGAACTTTGGGCTTTGGCCGTAACATATACAAAAATACATATAATTTTCCAAAATTTTAAGTTTATAAAAAGCTTCAGCAGTAAAAGTGTTAAAATAAAAAGTTTCTATTAATTTATTATCTAAGTTTGTTAGGTTACATTGCCGCAATTAATTTCGCGCATTAATCAAGGGATACCTGTATATTCACTTCTACATTTTAATTGTTATTTGTTTTTTTGCAAAACCTTCCCAAAAACACTGCCTTTTTTTATTTAATCCCAAAAGGAAACTTTTTGCCTAAGTGTTATTTACTGAAGAAAACAGTATGAAAGCCTTTGCTCTTGTAAATATACATAAGTATTAGTAACTCAATTGCACACACAACATTCTTTCTTGTGTTGCATCACATGAACAAAGATTGCTTTGCATCACATTGCTAATGGGTAACAAAATAAACAAGGTTAAAGCATCAGCCTACTGCTCTGCAGATTCAGAATCAAATCTGAGCAAGCAATCCCGGGAATTTTTTGGGAGTGATCCGTTCCAGACACATGGGGTCCATTGGGGTCAATCTGTATAAATACTGGGGCAGGCTAATGACAATGAGTAAGAAAAATTTCTTCGTTGACTTTCTTATAGATCTCGATCGATATTCGCAACCGATTTTATAATTTTCGAGTGCATTGAATTAAACTTTAAAGATAAAATTACCTTTTCACTCTCGGGTAGATCGACTTCGCTTCTATTTTCTTTTCCTAATTCACTGATTACACTCGTTCGACGGACCATTTCGTCGCCGCAATAATCTACGTTTTCGACATTTTCATCTTCTTCGTACGATTCTGTAGCGGTAAACATAGCTTCTTTCGAAGCACCCGGTTCGAAATCACCGGGAAAATCATCGAAGCCAAAATCTTTACCTTCCTCTTCCACTTTCGATGTGTTTAACTCTTCCGCCATGACAACTATTTTGATGCAATTGCAGCGCCACACTTCGGAATTCGAGATTTTTTTTTAATTTAATTTAAAGCGATATTTTTATTTTTAAAATGCATATGAAATATCTTATTTTTATACGTGTAAATATTATTATTTATAAAACTTAAACGATTTACATCACGCAAAATTTTCTTTTCTTTGTATTTCTATACTGAAGCGATTTGATAGCAAGGTTGCCAATTTTCCCGGACACGTCGCGTCGCCAGGAGAGTCTCGAAATTTGGTAAAAATTCTTAAATTCTCGGAATCTTATATTTATACTATATTTACTCAACGTGATCAAGTTATCAAAACAGGCGACAGCATTTTGCTATCGCTGAAAGTAAAAAACGTCAAATCTCCCGAAATTTTTTATTCCTGAAACGGAGGTTTAGGTTTATTTGGTAACGGCAACGCGACACGTAGGCAATCTGACGAGGAAGAGATGCCCTCCGAGAGGACTTTCAGAGTGAAACTGACCCCTATTTATGTGTTACAAATGTGAAGAAAACGCCGAAAACTCCACATGGTCAGCCCCTTGACCAACGCAAACTAACGATCAATTACCAGTGTTCAGTGTTTTAATCTAATCGGTCACTAGTGGGATTATTCTTGAAATGGAAAATTCTCGGAATCAACATTTTGGGAGTTGGCAAATTTATTGATAACAGCAATTTATATTTAATTAAGCTTAACAGTCCATTATCATGACAAATCTGAGATTCGGATCCAATACAAATGCACATAAATTATCATGGGCATCATTCTCTACGCCTTACCCGTATTGACGATATCATTGTGGGGCGCCTACCAGGACTGAGTGGATAAATCACTGAACACTAAAGTAAAGTAGGTTTGCGTTTCACCAACGGGCTGGCCACGTGGAGTTTTTCGGGTTTTCTTCACGTACGTAACTTCTAAGTAGGGACTAGCTTCCGATAGAAAGTTTTCCCAGGAGGGATTCTTTTGGCAGATTGCCATGTATTATATTGTCTTATTTCTATCAATCCAATCAATCTATCGTGGCAAACTTGCCAATAATCGATATACATAATTATAGGCATTCACAAAACCTTAATATGCTGGTGTCTCGCGTTAATTAATTAATCAATCAATCATCACACACTTATTTCTAAATTACTTTTGTTTTCTTCTATTCGCTACTAAAATATTCGTGACGTTATTAACCAAACTACTGTACTTTTGTTCAATTAATTACATGTCGGCTCTGTCTAAAATCTACAATGACTCAAGTCATCACAAGTCAGATCGAGATCGGATCTACACAATCGAGCTTAAGTCGATCGTGTCGATGATCGGATTGAAATGATTATGAATTTTACAGATTATAAAAGATATAACAAAAAAAAAAAAAACTCCCAAAAACATTCACAGTGTCCGTAATTCCGGATTCAATTAGTATAAAAAAATATTCTAAACAGAACTGAAACTCACCATTTATAAAAATTAATTGTAATGTATAGAAATAACTTTATTTTACAAATATTTTATGAAAATGAAAATTATTTATATTTAGAATATAAATTCTGTTCTTCTACTAAAACTTATAGAATTACAGAAACTAAGTTGAGAATCCCTTGTTTTTAGTGATATTTTAACTGCATAGAATAAAAACAAAACTAGAAGTTCATTACGGTAAACAATTTTACTCTTACATTTCAGATTACTTTAATCTAAAATGTCTTTTAAAATATTTATAATTTTTATTTATCTCTCCGTAATAATAAAGGTAATATTCGCATTTTTAATATTATCTGTTTTGATAACATCCAATTATATAGAAGAGTCAACGTATCATATAATTTTTAATTCGTCCTAGGAAACTTATAGACTTTTGTATCTTCTCAAACACACTATAAGAATGTATGATTAAATATTTAAAAATTGTAATAAATTCTACATACGCACGAACAAAAACAATTTTTTAAAATTATTTATTTTGTTGTTTTATTAAACTCTTTCCGCCATTTGGGGAACTAAGAGGGCCTCTTTTAGCAAGCCCATTATGGATTCGGCCAGTCTCACAATGGGGCGGCCGGGTGGTGAGGGACGAGGCCCGTCCGGGTCACCCAGAGTGGTAGGCTGTCATCCGGCCGTCTTTGCCATTTGTTTATAAAATTAAAAGTAACGAATTAAACAATATATTATTTATTGAATTGCTTTTCTAAGTATCATATTTATATTTTCTTCAATAGAAATATACTTTGTAATTTCTTACAAGATAAAGAAATTTATATTGTATAATATAATAAATAACAGTAATCTAAATACTGAAAGACATTGAACTGTTCCATTTATGAATTTTATTAAATTATATAAGATAATATATAAAACATTAGCAGCAAAAAATGTAGCAATATAAATATTCGCAATTCGAATTTAACATAAATTAAATCTGCTAAATTTAATCACGTGAACGAATCCAGTCACTAAAATCATTCCTGTGATTAATTTAGGCAACATAAAAATTTTAAAATACTGAAATTATCTCGTAAAAATAGCATATTAAATACTATTATTATAACGTACGAAATAATACGTATTATAAAATATAACAGGTTGATTTGCAACGAAAAAAATTAATTTATATTCGTATGTAGACTAATTCACGTGATTAGATGACCTCGGTCACGTGACCGGATAATTCGGACAAAATTTCTTTCGGCCCGCAATTTTGGCACCATAAAAATATTATACGTATTTCGTAATTTTAACGGATAATTTTTATTAATATTATGTTACAGACGAATAGAAATTAAACGAGTATAGAAGCGTAAGTGCGTGATTGATGTAGAAGTCGTCTGTCTTTTGAATTACGACAGAAGTTCGAACGTTTAAATGTTGAGTCATTTATTTTACATTGCGGATATCTTTTACGAATATTTGATAATTCCTTTCATTAATATCGAAGAATTCGAATGGAAGTTATTAAGATCTTTACTCATCCTGCTATTTATCAATTTAGTATTCATTACACTGGCTTGGAATAAATATGGAAACAAAATAAGTGAAAGGTTTATGAAGCCAGGTAAATATCCACTTTTATTAATTAGCAATTAAAATATGATTCAGCATCTTATGTAACTTATTTAAACATTGCAAATGTGTAGACATGTTTGTTAAACCATTTTGTTTTCTTTATGGGTAGAAGTTACTTTTAGGTAATTAATGTATGTAAAATGTATACACAGTTTACGTAAAAGTAACTTCTAGCAACACTGTTGGGATCTTAACACAGCTGTAGAACATGCCTGTGGTCACCAGTTTGTGTGAAATTAATCATAGCAAACCAGCCACATACAATAAAATATTAACATTTATTCTATATATGAATTATGGCGCGACTGTACAGGTTAAAACACGGAACGATACTACATGCATCTGCAGAGGTCCAAATCCAACAAGAATGTGTGATGTCATAGGTCAGGTTTGTACAGTTCAGGGGTTCCACCTTGTGGTGTCTTTGGAATTTATCGCCAAAGCTGTCGCTACAATGCCCAAAGGATCTGCATCTGTACCATTTTTATATTATCTATCTACTAATTACAGTATATTTGCATCCACTGTCTTTATCATTAAAATTTATGTAAATTGATTGTAGATATTAAAATAAAATGGAATCTAATGCTTCAGCCTTTAATATTGTTTAACACAGTCTAGATCAAATAGACACACATATGTATGAGGTTATTGCATTAGTGAAGGAGATTAATTCACAAAATCTTTAATGATTATTTAACATCTTATTAATAAAACTTGATGATAAATTATGGCTCTTAAGCCCGTGTGTGTACGCGTCTATTTGGTGTAGTCTAAGTGTTAAATACTGAAATTAAATTAATGAGATTATTTAAAAGGTGAAATAAGTTTTTTAAAAAGTACCCTATCGAAGGTGGTATGTATTTGAAAAAGCTCGATTATGTCTGTTTTTAAATTGCTACAAATTATGACGAGCATTGGTATTATATCTTTAAGAAAATGTTTTTGTATTTGTTATAGTTTACATTTTATTTGTTTTGTATTTTATTTTATTTTTTTGTTTTAAGGAACTTCTTTTAGCGTAACTGAAATTTTTGTGTATAGATTTGACGTAGTCATATTCTTCAAATTTATTCATTTTTGTTATAGAATTACTCTTATCTTTTCTGTAAGAGATTTAGCTTTTTATGATGACGACAACAATGAAGTTGAAGGGAGAAAAATACAATTTTATTGTTTAATAAACTTTTGAAAATTGAAGAATTTTTTTTTTCTGTTAAAAGTATTTTACCTTTTTTGTCAGATTGAGTTTGAGTTTTGCTTTGGATGTATATGGGGATTGTTTGTGAAAAGAACATTGAAGTTGGTTTTAACAAATTGCTATAGTTAATAATGAATAACATTACAATATATATTAAAATATAATGGTAGTATTTTAATTAATAATTAAATGAATGTTTTACATAATAAGCTGTTGTTGAATATATTTATCTATTTAAAATTTGTTTTCCTATGTGCATATTATTAAACAATAAAAAAATTATTTCTTTATATATTCATTATATAGAATTAATTTTTCTTTAGTTCATATTTTGTCAGCTATTATTCAGGCTAATAATAGAATGTTACATTAGTAAAGGTAGTTATAAGATTTTCACAAGTAATATTTTCATTTTCTGTGATATTAAAATCACTCCATAATTCAAATAGGTTATGTAGTATGAATATTTTTGTTTTTCAAAAATAAATAGCTCAAAATATAATTTAATATGTTTATTAAATGATTTAAGTTTTTATATTTAGCATTTTTTTAAAATAATATATTTGTTAATATATCAGATTTAACATATCTATAGCTTATTGAAGTTTTTTTTCCAAGAAAGTTAATATTAGTGTTTTTTTTAAAATAAATTAATTTTTAATAAAATCACGAATATTAACTATTTTAGAATATTTTAGGTTTATTAAGACAATTCTAAAAAAACCCCCCACATTTATATATATA